ATAGGACATCAATGATTTGTGCCTCTTGGGGCCCTCTTGGGAGGCCTCAACGAGGTTTCTTGGGGTGTCTTGTGACAGATTCTTGGCCCATCTTGGTGCTATTTTGGGCGTCTTGAACGGATCTTTCTGCGATTCGAGGCCCGCTTGGACCGTCTTGGGGGTCTCTTGGGGCCCTCTTGGCCCGTATTGGGGCCTGCATGGGCTTAAAAAAGTCATGCGACAAGCCGCCGGGGAGCCCAGGGGAACCGCGGGAAGCATCGCTCGCCAAATGTTGGAAATTGGGGTCCAGGTCTTTGAAAGACTCCACAGGACTGAGGGTTGAGGCTCCAAGGATTAGGCAAAGAGCCTGCTGACACGCCCACTCCGTGCCCAGAGGCACGGAGGTGGATAATTGTTTCAAGTTGCGCGGGGATCGGATGCTGACAGTGAAAACTCTAGAAGTCGGAGGTTGCTTACAATCGGTTTGTTTGCACGAGTGCCTTACTTCCCATAGCGCAGTATGAGGAAGAAGAGTAGCAAGCTGCAGTTTGCTGCATCGTTGTCATTGTGGTCATGGCCATTGTGGCTCGAGTGACCGGCAAGGGGGGACTTGTTCCCAACCCGCCCTTCCATGTTTAGTTTCTTTGGGGGGGGCGCGGGAGTCTCAAGGGTTCTATTCTGAGAGCTCCGCCGATTGGGCCTCCCAGAGTGCCAGAGTGGAGCGAGGACATTTGCCGCCAGAGATTCTAGAAACAAGTGGCACGTGTGCCATGGCTCTTGCACAAAAGGAAGGGGGAGGAGGAGGAGGTGGAGGAGGAGGGGGGAAGAGGGGGCAAGACATCGCCCCTCGGGGCCCAGCAACGGGGCCCAAGTCCCAGGTGGGGAGGGGGGGGGGAGGTGGTGTGCGTCGCGACGCGGAATAAAGTGCTCGGAGCGGAGGGGGCACGGGGCGGAGCCCCCATTGGGGCGTTGGGGGCGCGGAGAGGAGGGGGTGGAGGTGGTGTGCGTCGCGACGCGGAATGAAATGGTCGGGGCGGAGGGGGCACTGGGCGGGGCTTGGGGCAGAGGCCACGGGGCGGGGGTCCAACTGGGGCGCTGGGGACGGGGGGGGAGGTGGTGTGCGTCGCGACGCGGAATGAAATTGTTGGGGCAGAGGGCGCACGGGGCGGAGCCCCCACTGGGGCGCTGGGGACGCGGGGAGGGAGGTGGGGGAGGTGGTGTGCGTCGCGACGCGGAATAAAGCGTTCGTGGCGGAGGGGGCAGTGGGCGGGGCTCCCGCTGGGGCGTTGGGGACGCCGGGGGTCTCGGTGCAGAGAGCCACGGCGCGGGGGTCCCACTCTGGCGCTGGGGACTCGGGGGGGGGTGCGACGCGGAATAAAGCGTTCGTGGCGGAGGGGGCAGTGGGCGGGGCTCCCGCTGGGGCGCTGGGGACGCGGGGGGGCTCGGGGCAGAGAGCCACGGCGCGGGGGTCCCACTCTGGCGTTGGGGCCGCGGGGGGGGGGGGGGCGACGCGGAATAAGGTGGTCGGAGCTTTAGACACCTTGTGCAAGAGAATAACGACCCGTATCTTCAGGGTGGTCTGGGCGGGCAAACGCATATTATTGTTTCAAACCGGGCGGGGATCGAATGCTGACCGTGACAGTTCTAGGCGTCGAAGGTTACTTACAGTCGCTGTGTTTGTACGAGTGCCGTACTTCCTAGTGCACGGTAGGGGACAGCAGAGTAGCAAGCTGCAGTTGCTACATCGTTGTCGTTGCGGTCATGGCCATCTTGGCTCGGGTGACCTGCAAGGGGGCATTTGTTCCCAACCCGTCCATCCCCTTTAGTTTTTTTTCCGAGGCGCGGGATCCTCGGGTATCTCCAGGGTGGTCTGGGTGGGCAGACGCGTGTACATGTCTCGTGCCAGAACATTCCGGGGACTTCAACACAGCGAGTCATTGTTGCGTCCTGTCAACCTTGAACCGTATACGAGCACCGTTCCTGGGACTTCAACCGTACGAATCTTTGAACTTGCTGCAACATTTTAATCATAATCTGCGCGGCGCTGTGGCGAGAACCACATTTTGAAAGCCACCCGCCCGCCACCCATGAAACTATTGCAAACCATTAAGACGAATGTCCGCGTCGCCACGGCAAAGCAAACATATTTTCAAAACGAACAACCCTCCATCCTTGAAGCGGTCGCGAAAGCTTAAGACATGTGTGCGCAGTGCTCAGGCGAGATCAACATTTTGAGAGCCACCCGCCCGCAGTCCGTGAGACAGTTGCAGACTACTTCTAAGACGAATGTGCGCGGCGCTGGTACCAGAACCACATATTCTGAACACCACTCGCCCGCCATCCTTGAAACTGCTGCGAACTTGTAAGACGACTGAGCGCGGCGCGGAGGCGAGAACCACATGTCTGAAAACCACCCGCCCGTCATGTTTGCAACCGTTGCAAGTTTCAAGCTTCAGGATCTTCAATATCATAACTCGTGGCGAAGTCTCTGGCGAAACAGTTAACCCGCCTTACCGAAACGAATGTGGGTGCGACTGGGAGAAATGATGCATAAGGAACGAGAGATGGAGGAGGAGGAGGAGGAGGAGGAGAAGGATCGGTGAGAGAAGGAACAGGAGGAGGAGGAGGAGCGAAGCAGGACGAGGAGGAGGAGGGCGGAGGAGGAGGAGGAGGAGAAGGAAGAGGAGGAGGAGGACGGAAGACGGAGGACGGAGGAGGAGGAGGAGGAGGAGGACGGCAGAAGAGGAGGAGGTGGAACGGGGACTGAAGATGAGATCGAGATTGGTGGTGCTGGTGATGGTGACGGTGACAGTGGCGAGGACGACGACAACGACGATGACGATGACGACGATGATGGTGATGATGCTGTTGTTGATGATGATTGAGATGGAGATGGTGGTGATGATGATGATGGTGGTGGTGGTGATGATGTTCATGATGATGCTGGTGGTGGTGCTGATGGTGATACTGCTGCTAATGATGATGCGTCTGCTAATGATGATGGAGATGGAGATGGAGACGGGCAATATGACAACGATGATGGTGATGATGCTGATGATGATGCTGATGATGATGATGACGACGCGGACTATGATGATGATTATGCGGACGACGACGATGATGCTAATGATGATGGTGGTGGTGGTGATGGTGATGATGCTGATGATGATGACGAGGCTGCTGCTGATGATGATGATGAAGGCGATGATGATGATGATGATGATGATGCTGAGGATGATGATGATGATGATGATGCTGATGATGATGATGATGATGATGTTGATGATGATGATGATGGTCGTGATGATGATGATGATGATGATGATGATGATGCTGATGATGATGATGATGCTGATGATGATGATGGTCGTGATGATGATGATGATGATGATGATGATGATGATGATGATGATGGTTGTGATGATGATGCTGATGATGATGATGGTCGTGGTGATGATGAGGAGAAGGATGACAAGCATGAGCATGACACTGAATCACAGTATGTATAGTAGGGTGATGCAGCTTAGACTGTAGACGAGGATGATGAGAACGATGAAAGTGGTGCTAACGCTGATGGTGGTGATGGTGGTCATCATGATGATCATGATGGTGGCGACGATGTATGCAATCACTGACAGGATGCAGGCAGCTGGTGGACTCGACGATAATGGTAATGACGGTGGTGATGATGATGTTGCGGATGATGATGATGCTAATGATGATGACGACGTTGATGATGATGATGATGATGATGATGATGATGATGGTGATGGTGATGATGATAATGATGATCATGATGCTGGTGGTGATGATGACGATGATGATGTTGATGATGATGCTAATGCTGATGCTGATGATGATGTTTACCGACGACGATGATGATGATGATGATGATGATGATGATGTTTTGGATGAGGCTGTGGAGGATGGTGGAGACGGTGATGATTATAATGCTGACGATGATAATGCTGCTGCTGATGATGATGATGATGATGATGATCAGGGTGAACATGATGATGGTGGTTGTGGTGCTGCTGACGGCGATGATGGTGCTGGTGATGATGACTATGATGATGGTGGTGCTGATGGTGGTGACGATGATGACGATGATGATGTTGATGATGATGATGATGCTGGTGGTGGTGCTGATGATAATACTGCTAATGATGCTGCTGCTGATGATGATTATGATGGAGATGGAGATGGAGATGGAGATGGACATTATGACAATCATGATGGTGATGATGTTGATGTTGATGCTGATGCGGCTGATGGTCATGATGACGACGCTGACTATGATGATGATGATGGTGGTGGTGATGATGGTGATGATGTTGATGCTGCTGCTCATGATGATGATGATGATGATGATGACGATGATGATGATGATGGTGACGATGATGACGATGATGATGATGATGATGATGAACTAGATGATGATGCTGATGCTGATGATGATGTTGCTGATGATGGTGGTGATGATGATGATAAGGCTGATGCTGATGATGATGATGCTGCTGATGATGATGATGCTGATGCTGATGCTGATGCTGCTGACGATGATGAGGATGAGGATGAGGATGAGGATGAGGATGAGGATGATGCTGACGATGATGATGATGATGATGTTGATGTTGATGATGATGATGATGATGATGATGATGATGATGATGATGATGATGATGATGATGCTGATGCTGATGCTGATGCTGATGCTGATGCTGATGCTGATGATGCTGATGCTGATGATGATGCTGATGCTGATGGTGGTGGTGGTGGTGGTGATGATGATGATGATGATGATGATGATGATGATGATGATGATGATGATGATGATGATGATGGTGGTAATGATGACGAGGAGGAGGAGGAGGAGGAGGAGGACGAGGAGGAGGAGGAGTACGAGGAGGAGGAGGAGGAGGACGAGGAGGAGGAGGAGGACGAGGAGGAGGAGGAGGACGAGGAGGATGTCAGCCCCCCGTCCCCAGCCCACCGTCCCCCCCCCCACGCGTCGGCGGCGAGGAGTGGGGCGTGTTGGACACGAGCTCCGCTGGGATGTTGCGGCAGGTGTCCGAGGAGGACGCTCGCGAGATCGTCTCGTCCCTGGGCCCGGAGGCCACGGCGGCGGAGCTATCCGCGCCCCGCCTTCCACCAAGCCGCGTGCGGCTTGCCCTGCCCAACCCCCGTTCGAGGGGGGCGCAGGGTTCTAGGCCTCCTGGGTGGGGTCCGAGTAGATGGGGTCGGGTGAGCGCACCGCATCGCCGATGCATCGCCGATACGGCTCGATGTGGAGCGCGGTTTTCTCCACGCTGGAGTCGCCGATGCACCGCCGACGTCGCCGATGCTCGCCCGTGCACGGGCGATGCATCTGCGATTCGGCGTGATCATCCGACCCCATCTACTCGGACCCGATCTAGAGGACCTCTACTTTCCCCAGCTCCCGTTCGGACGGGCCGCAGGGTCGGGGGTGCCTCCCACCTTGGGCTGAAGGCACCTGGACTCGGCACTTGGCTGCTGTCTCCTCTTTCCCATTCTCCTCTCTACGCTGTGCTAGGCCAGAACGTCCCAACCGTCCTCGTCCCCGTCGTATCGAGGGAGAGAAAGAGAGAGAGAGAGAGAGAGAGAGCGAAGGAAGGAGAGAGAGAGAGAGATAGAGAGAGAGAGAAAGGGAGACAGAGAGAGAGAGAGAGAGAGCGAAGGAAGGAGAGAGAAAGGGAGGCGCACGCAGATCAGCGTGCAGCTGTCTATCGGCGTGCATCGAGCACTGCTGGACGCGCTGCCGGTCGGCGTGAAGCCGTGCGGCGCGGTGCGGTGCATGGCGCAGGGTGGGTCGCCCATTTCTTGATCCCTTTTCCGCCTCCTCCTTTTAAGGCGTCGCGTGTGTTGCAGGATGAGCGTTGAGGATGCTCGAGTTCGAGAAAGACATGTATGTGTATATATACATTGATGAGATAGAGAAAGAGAAAGAGAGAGAGAGAGATACAGCTAAAGACAGACAGAGAAAGAGGGAGAGAGAGGGAGATAGAGAGCGAGAGAGAAAGAGGTAGATGGAGAGAGCCGAAGGCACCCGCTAGAGCGCGAATTTAACCGCGCTTCGTGGCCTGGGCCGGAATGCTGCCTGTTCTCCAATGCGGATTCGCGAGGGCGCAAACTAGGCGACGCAGGGCAAGGCTGAGTGCTAAGGCCTAAGGAGTGCAACTGCCGTGCCCCTGCACAGCGTCGCAGACGACGCCTCGTGGCTGCTCGCGCAGGCTGCGGCGGACAGCACCCTGCTTCGCCAGAGCCGCGGCATGGCCTCCTCGCCCCCCCCCCCACCCGTGGGCACCACACCTTGCGCGCACCGGCCCGACGCGCTGGCTGGGAGGCCGTGCGGTGCGCTCGCCAGGAATCCGACCCGCTGGGGGCCTGGGCCGGCCTCCTCGGCCCCCAGCGGCCACCACGGGGCGAGGGCTGCCGAGAGCCCGCAGGTGCGAGCGGGGTGGCTTCCTCGCGCGAGTGCGGAGGTCCTCGTCCCGTGGTCCTCGCCGCCCCGCCTCGCGCTTCCTTCCGCCCCTCCCCGTCCTCCTCCTGTGTGGTCCCCGTCCTCCACTGTGCTGGCTTCGCTGCATGCCCATCCGCGGCGGGGGGCGACTTCGGGACAACTGCCGGACAACCCGCGGGACAAAAGCGGGACTTACACGGGTACGGGACAACCACTCGACGGCCACGGGACAATCGCTGAACGAGGCATGACGGGAGAAGACAGCGGTTAGAACCGTGACGAACGCGAAACGCGCGCGGGCTCCCCTCTTCTTCCTGGCCCCACTTTTCTGCGCACCTGATCCCCTCCCCTCCTCCCTTCTACTCCCCTGAAGCTGTGCCCCCAGGTGAGAAATCCGTCGGCTTTCGTGACCAAGGCGCTGCGTGCCACCTGGAAGGAGGGCCAGTGGATAGAGCGATGAGCACAGCGAATGTTGTTGCAATATTAATCAAGATGGGAGGAGGGAGGAGAGATGGCCCAGTGCGGTGTGGGGACATTTCTACACTGCAATCTGTCCCAGCCACATTTTGTTGTGTTCGCGAGAGCGCCCACCTTTCTCTGAGAGGAAAGAGAAACAGTGAGAAAGAGAGAGATACTATAATGATAAAAATCTGTATATGCATGCGTGCATGCATGCATGTATGCATGTATGCATGTATGCATGTACGTATGTGTAGGTTTGCATGCATGCATGTAGTTGTGTAGTTATGTCTGCTTATGTTTATGTTTATGTGTATGGTTAAGTTCTTGATTATGCGTATGTGTATGAATATGTATGCATATATTCAGATGTTAGTGTATGGATAGGTGTATGTATATTTATGTGTATAGTTTGTATGCACATGCATTTGCATATGTATATGTACACGCTCATGTATATGTATATGTATATGTATATGTATAGGTGTATGTATATGTTTATGTAGAAACATGTATAATGTAAATGCATAGCCAACATCGATGCTATTGCATATGTGCATGTACACGTACACGTACACGTACACGTACATGCCAATGTACATGTTAATTTTCATGTACATGTAAGTGTAAAGGTCGAATCGCATGTACATGTAAACGTACATGTATGTATGCATGCATGCACGTATGTATGTCTTTATTCGTGTACGTATGTATGGATGCATGCATGTGTATGTCTGTCTGTATGTCTGTCTGTGTGTGTATGCCTGTCTGTCTGTCTGTCTGTGTGTGTATGTATGTATGCATGCATGCATGCATGCATGTATATTTATATATATATATGTGTGTATATATATATATATATATGTGTATGCAAATGTTAATATATGTATGTATGTATATATATATACGTGTATCTGAGTGGGCCAGGGGAGGGCCCAGAACGGGGACCACTGATTTGCATGGCGGTCCGCGGGGGCCTTGAGGGCTTCAAGAGGGCCCAGAAGGGGCCCCGGACCCCCCGAGAGGCTCCCAAGCTGGCCCAAAGGCTCCCAAAGCGCCCCAGGTTGTCTGGAAGTGCGGTCCAACCAACGCCGTACGCATAGAATAATGATTGGATCACCGCGACGTCGTGTTCCAGATGCCGCAGTGGAATTGGACTCTGGACATCTTTCCGACAGAGAAAGCACCACTTTGGACCACTATTCCGACAGCAGTGACACCGACACCAGCACCGGTAACAACACCACATCGAGCACATGTTCTTCTTCGGCTGCAATTGAACCATGGCAAGATTAGATTCAACGCAAGACAAAGCAAGTATAACAGTATTGCCAGCAGGTGGGTCACGAAGATTGGTGCACACGGAAGAGACGTTTGCAATGGAGACTTGTTTGTAAGATCCTTCATAACGTGGGAAAATGGAGCCAGAAGGCGTTGTGATGGGATCCAACCGAGACACATCCACGCGCAAAGAGATGACCACACCGACCTAACAATTGATGCATTGACGGCGTGGCAAGTTTTATTGGCAGAAGTGGCGGAGAACCTTGGCAAACAATTGTTGTCGCTTCGCGAATCCCCACCAGCCCATCCAGAAACGATGCCCAGAGGAATTGCCTCGATCAGAGAAGTGGGCAGCACACAGAGGAAGCCATTATGAGACATCTTGGGATATCTTGAGCCATCTTGGAGGTCATTTTGGGCTCTCCCAGACGCTCTTGGAGTCATCTTAATCCGTGCCCCCCCCCAAGAGGCCTCCATGTGGCTAAAACCTGTGTAGAATCAATGATTAGGCATTCTCGCCGAGGCCTCTTGGAGCATCTTGGGTGCATCTGGGGGGGCTCTTGGGGCCTCTTGGGGGTCTCTTGGGGGCCTCCGGGGGGCCTCTTGGGGGCCTCTTGGGGCCATTTTGGGGCCATCTTGGGACCTCTTGGGGCTTCCTGGGCGCTTCTTGGGGCCATCTTGGAGGAGATCGATCAAACAAGAGGGGGGGTTTAATTAGCGCCCCCCCTCGGAAGCCCCTAAAATCGCCTCTTGGACCCCTCTTGGAACGCTCTTGGAGTGCTCTTGGGCGCTCTTGGGGCCGTCTTGGGGCTCTTTTGGGGCTCTCTTGGGGCCCTCTTGGGCCATCTTGGAACCATCTCCAGGCCTCGGATGGCCATCGGAAGCGAAAAGGCGAGAAAGCAAAAATCATTGATTTTCCTTAGGTTTTGGGACGATTTTGGCCTCTTCGGGGCCTCCTTGGGGAGCTGTTTGGCCACTTGGAGTTATCTTGGGGCCGTCTTTGGGCTTCTTGGAACCATCTTAGGAGCCATCTCGAGCGATCTTGCGCTATCTTGAGCCATCTTGGAGCTCATCTTGGGTTCTCTGAGGCGCTCTTGGAGCCGTCTTGGGCCATCTGGGACGCTCTAACTACCCGCGGCCCCCCCCGTCCAGGTCCAGGGGAGGGGGTAGGGGGAGGGGTAAACCCCTCCCCAAGGGGGAAGAGGGAGGGGTGGAAGAGGATCTGTTCTAGACCACCTACGCCCAGAGGGCTGGTGGGATTCCGCCAGACAGCAGTCTATGGTCTGAAGTGGAGGAGCCCTACGTACGCTGGCATGGACAGGATAATCTGTTCGAGCGGGTCGGCCGACCGGCTCTTCCTCGCTCCTTCCTCCAACCCATATTGAATTCGAATATTTTGGCTGGCGCCGAGGCGCCGCCGCCTGGCCCCTCGCAGGGCCGTCCCGTGGGACGAGTAGGCGCCGCGACCGCGCGTCCGCGTCCGCGTCCTCCCTCCTCCTCCTCCTCCTCCTTCTCCTGGTCTCTTTCCCTTCCATCCTGTGGTGTTGGGTCCTCGTTTTGAAGAGACAGCGCCCCGCGTCTCACTCCTCCTCCCCCCTCCTCCCTCCTCCATGCGTTTCACCCACCCAGTACAGCGCTTCGTGGCCCCACAGGGAGCTCCACCTAAGGCCCCAAGGGGGGGGTACCACATGCGTCCGCCAGGCTCCAGTGGGGGGTGGCCACGTGCGTCTTCCACATCCAGTAAAGCGCTTCGTGGACCCATAGGGAGCTCCACGTAAGGCCCCAGTGGGGGTGGCCACATGCGTCCGCCACCCAGTACAGCGCGTCGTGGCCCCATAGGGAGCTCCACGTAAGGCCCCAGGGGGGGGTACCACATGCGTCCTCCACACCCAGTGCAGCGCTTCGTGGCCCCATAGGGAGCTCGCTCTACCTAAGGCCCCAGGGGGGGGGGGTACCGCGTGCGTCCGCCACACCCAGTACGGCGTTTCGTCCCCTGGGGGGGTACCACATGCGTCCGCCACACCCAGTGCAGCGCTTCGTGGCCTCATAGTGAGCTCCACCTAAGGCTCCAGTGGGGTTTGGCCACATGCATCCGCCACATCCAGTACAGCGCTTCGTGGACCCATAGGGAGCTCCACCGAAGGCCCCAGTGGGGGTGGCCACATGCGTCCGCCACACCCAGTACAGCGTTTCGCGGCCCCACAGGAAGCTCCACCGAAGCCCCCACTGGGACCTTCCGCATGCGTCCCGCGCACCCAGTTTGGCATTCTCACCCACCCAGTATAGCGTTTCGTGGCCTCGTTAGGAGCTCCTCCGAAGCCCCCACTGGGTCCGTCCGCATGCGTCCCGGAAACCCAATTTGGCATTTTCCCCCAGTGCAGCGCTTCGTGGCCCCATAGGGAGCTCCACCGAAGCCTCCACTAGGACCGTCCGCGTGCGTCCCACACGCCCAATTTGGCATTTTCACCCACCCAGTACAGCGTTTCGTGGCCCCATAGGGAGCTCCACCGACGGCCCCCGTTCTACCGCCCGCAAGCGTTCCCCCCACCCAGTGAAGCGCTTCGTGGCCCCATAGGGAGCTTCACCGAAGAAGATATTCACAATTGTGGTACCCACAACTGCATGTGGTTGCCTCCCTCGCCAGGATAATTGTTCCTCTCCTGCCTCCTCTCCCTCCCCTTGCGCGCCAGGCGCGTGCATGATGCACGGCTGGCGCACGCAGCCCTCTGAAGCCCCCAGGAATGCACCGGTGCATTCAAGCCAGGGTTTTGGACTACAGCCAGGCGGCTTCATTGCTGAAATCGGTTATGTTGGGTATGCGATGCCAACAAAGTAGGTCTATACGGAATGCTCGGTCCCCACCTGGGCTTACTCCGTCTGGATTCAGCATCGATGGGGGAAGACAGCCAGGCTGACACCACCCTGACGTTTTCCTTGCGCGCGCGGTTCCTTGTCTGATTCTTCACTGTCTCTCACCGCCCGTGTATCTGAGTAGATGAAGCATGGGAGGTATACGTGAGCTTGGCGCTGGGAGCACGGCGAAAGGGATACATCCATTTAGAGAGAGAGTGAGAATATATACATACATCTATATGTGTACAAGACTGCATTGGCGCTTCGCGCCATGCACCTTGGTTCTTAAAGCTCGGCATGCAGGAGAACCAAATATAGCGATGATTCATTGTTGCCGTTTGCGCCATCGTCGTTATAGTAATGTTATGTACTATCCTTATACTTCCTCTCCTCTAACTCGTAATCTTCCTTGTCTGCGAGCCACTCCTTGTCCTCATCCCCAGTTTGTATTGCAGGGGCTCCTCTTTGGAGGTGTTCTTGGGCCCCTCTCAAAAGCTTTTTGGTGACCTCTGGGGGCCTCCTGGGCGCCTTTTGGGGGCCTCTGGGGGCTTCTTGCGGCCACCTTGCTACCAACCACGGTCTCCCTGAACGACCGGGTCACGATTTGGAGTGCTTCGGGAGGCGTCTTGGGGCCATCTGGGGCTGTCAGCGGGGCTCTCTTGGGGCCATCTTGCGGCCCTGTTGGACCATATTGGGGCTCTTTTGGACTGTCTGGAAGCCCTTTGACACCGTTGTGGGAGGATTTTGGGGGCCTCTTCGGCGGACTCGGACGCACGGAATACCGAAGAACCGAATGTCCAACAATTCAATAAAAAACGAAAGGAAAGTGCTGTTTTTTTGCACTTGGAGGACCTCTTGGGGGTCTTCTTTGGTTCGTCTTCGGGCGTCTTGGGGCTGTCTGGGGCCGCGTGGGGCTCTCGCGGGGCCGTTTGGCCGCCCTCCTGACCGCTTTGGGCCTGCTGGCAAGGCCCGGCAGGGGCGTCCAGGAGGCCCAGAAGGCCCGGGGGACCCCTTGCAAAGCGTCCAGGGGGCCCCAAAAACGCCAGATCCCGGGGGTCCGATTTTCCGGGGGGCGGGGGGGGGGGTGCTTACCCCCCCGGATTGCAAAAATATAGGAACGGGAATATATATATATATATATATAGAGAGAGAGAGAGAGAGGGAGAGAACGAGAGAGAGAGAGAGAGAGTTAGACAGAGAGATAGAGAGAGAGAGAGCCAGAGAAAAAGAGGCGGAGAGGGAGGGAGAGGGCGAGGGAAGGAGGGAATGATCGATCTATCGATCTGTCTGTCTATTTACCTGTCTACCAATCAACATAGTCGTCAATGTGTATATATATATATATATCGAGAGAGAGAGAGAGAGAGAGAGAAAACAAAAAGAGAGAGAGAGAGAGAGAGAAAAACGAGAGAGAGAGAGAAAAACGAGAGAGAGAGAGAGAGAA